GCGTTCCTCCGTGTTTCTAAAGGTGATAGATGGGAGTGTTCCTAAAGGTGATAGATGGGAGCGTTCCTCTGTGTTTCTAAAGGTGATAGATGGGAGTGTTCCTAAAGGTGATAGATGGGAGCGTTCCTAAAGGTGATAGATGGGAGCGTTCCTAAAGGTGATAGATGGGAGCGTTCCTCAGTGTTTCTAAAGGTGATAGATGAGAGCGTTCCTCTGTGTTTCTAAAGGTGATAGATTGGAGCGTTCCTAAAGGTGATAGATTGGAGCGTTCCTAAAGGTGATAGATGAGAGCGTTCCTCCGTGTTTCTAAAGGTGATAGATGGGAGCGTTCCTAAAGGTGATAGATTGGAGCGTTCCTAAAGGTGATAGATGAGAGCGTTCCTCCATGTTCCTAAAGGTGATAGATGGGAGCGTTCCTAAAGGTGATAGATGGGAGCGTTCCTAAAGGTGATAGATGGGAGCGTTCCTCAGTGTTTCTAAAGGTGATAGATGAGAGCGTTCCTCTGTGTTTCTAAAGGTGATAGATTGGAGCGTTCCTAAAGGTGATAGATGAGAGCGTTCCTCCGTGTTTCTAAAGGTGATAGCAGCAGATGGTTCATTCTGTTGTTGTTTTAGGCTCAGAGGAACCCCCTGTCTTCCTGGAGCTGCACTACAACGGTTGCCCTGACAACACACACTCTCCTCTACTGCTGGTGGGCAAGGGCATCACCTTCGACAGGTACACACACCACATCACACACCGCCCATCACTGCTGTCCAACCAGGGTGCTCTGTTCACTGTGTTGGACACCGCCCATCACTGCTGTCCAACCAGGGTGCTCTGTTCACTGTGTTGTGCTGTCCAACCAGGGTGCTCTGTTCACTGTGTTGGACACCGCCCATCACTGCTGTCCAACCAGGGTGCTCTGTTCACTGTGTTGGACACCACCCATCACTGCTGTCCAACCAGGGTGCTCTGTTCACTGTGTTGGACACCGCACATCACTGCTGTCCAACCAGGGTGCTCTGTTCACTGTGTTGGACACCACCCATCACTGCTGTCCAACCAGGGTGCTCTGTTCACTGTGTTGGACACCGCCCATCACTGCTGTCCAACCAGGGTGCTCTGTTCACTGTGTTGGACACCGCCCATCACTGCTGTCCAACCAGGGTGCTCTGTTCACTGTGTTGGACACCGCCCATCACTGCTGTCCAACCAGGGTGCTCTGTTCACTGTGTTGGACACCACCCATCACTGCTGTCCAACCAGGGTGCTCTGTTCACTGTGTTGTTAAAGCATCAGGTCTTGTCTCTTCGCTGCATCTCCCCAACGGTCTCGGGAAGTGAAGGTCGAGTCATGCGTCCTCCGAAACATGACCCGCCAAACCGCTCTTCTTAAACACCCGCCCGCTTAACCCGGAAGCCAGCCGCACCAATGTGTCGGAGGAAACACAGTTCAACTGACGACCGAGGTCAGCCTGCAGGCGCCCGGCCCGCCACAAGGAGTCGCTAGAGCGCGATGAGCCAAGTAAAGCCCCCCCCCCCCCCCTCGGCCAAACCCTCCCCCCCCCTCGGCCAAACCCTCCCCTAACCCGGACGACGCTGGGCCAATTGTGACTTCCAATCACGGCCGGTTGTGATACAGCCCGGGAATCGAACCCGGGTCTGTAGTGTCGCCTTTAGCACTGCGATGCAGTGCCTTAGACCGCTGCGCCACTCGGGAGGCCAGCTGGCCTTTTTTCTAAAACATTACTAGTGTCATTTTAATTGATATAAATGTTAACTATGTTCCTTACCCTCTCTCTCTCTCTAGCGGTGGGATCAGTCTAAAGCCTCCATCGGGTATGGATGCTATGAGGGCTGATATGGGAGGAGCCGCCACCGTGTGTTCCGCCATCGTCACGGCAGCAGCCCTCAACCTGCCAATCAACATCATAGGTGAGCTTGCGGCGTGACGCGCTAGCCAATCGGTGTTTCTTGAGCTGGGCTCTCCGACCCTGTTCCTGAAGAACTACTGTCCTGTAGGTTTTTTCGATCCGACCCCAATCTAGTGCATCTGATTCTAATAATTAGCTGGTTGAGAAGCTGAACCAGGACAGTTACAACTGGATTTGGAGTTAAAACCTACTGGAGGGTGTCTCTCCAGGAACAGGGTTGGAGTTTAAACCTACAGGACGGTATCTCTCCAGGAACAGGGTTGGAGTTTAAACCTACAGGAGGGTATCTCTCCAGGAACAGAGTTGGATTTTAAACCTACAGGAAGGAATCTCTCCAGGAACAGGGTTGGAGTTTAAACCTACAGGAGGGTATCTCTCCAGGAACAGGTTTGGAGGGGCCTAGTGGTAAAATGGCAGTCCTGCAGAGATGTGCCCCGCAATCTTGTAACTCGTTGTAAAATACAGGATCGCCATTTTGCGTGTTGTATTTCAGCTGATTTGCGTTGCGTACGTAGTAAGATATAAATTAATCAATCTGCGATTGGTACAACCCTTTATTGACATATTGAGGATATTAAAGTAATTCATTATAATCATATATTATTATAGCCATTTGATGCTTGAAGAATATAACTTATAAATGCCTCATGAACTTAGTTCAACTGTCGTCCCCCATCAGAACCCAGAATATACTCTTGTTTTACTCCAATGTTGGTAGCCAATGGGAACACATCCTATATATCCTCAGATAAAACTATCATTTAGATATCATGGTTGATATCCATCCATAGCTCTGTCTGAGTGGTTGATATCCATCCATAGCTCTGAGTGGTTGATATCCATCCATAGCTCTGTCTGAGTGGTTGATATCCATCCATAGCTCTGAGTGGTTGATTAATCCCCCCATAGCCTGTCCTGGGGGTTGATATCCATCCAAGCCCCAACCAAAAAAAAAAAAAAAAAACCCCCCCCCAAAAAAAATGGGTGCTGGGTGGTTGAATCCATCCATAGCTCTGTCTGAGTGGCTGATATCCTCCTATAGCTCTGTCTGGGTGGTTGATATCCAATCCATAGCTCTGTCTGGAGTGGTTGAAAATATCCATCCATAGCTCTGTTCTGGGGTGGTTGAGATACCATCCATAGCTCTGTCTGGGTGGTTGATTCCATCCATAGCTCTGTCTGAGTGGTTGATATCCATCCATAGCTCTGTCTGGGTGGTTGATATCCATCCATAGCTCTGTCTGGGTGGTTGATATCCATCCATAGCTCTGTCTGAGTGGTTGATATCCATCCATAGCTCTGTCTGGGTGGTTGATATCCATCCATAGCTCTGTCTGGTGGTTGATATCCATCCATAGCTCTGTCTGGGTGGTTGATATCCATCCATAGCTCTGTCTGGGTGGTTGATATCCATCCATAGCTCTGTCTGAGGGGTTGATATCCATCCATAGCTCTGTCTGGGTGGTTGATATCCATCCATAGCTCTGTCTGAGTGGGTTGATATCCATCCATAGCTCTGTCTGGTGGTTGAATCCATCCATAGCTCTGTTGGTGGTTGATATCCATCCATAGCTCTCTGAGTGGTTGATATCCATCCATAGCTCTGTCTGGGTGGTTGATATCCATCCATAGCTCTGTCTGGGTGGTTGATATCCATCCATAGCTCTGTCGAGTGGTTGATATCCATCCATAGCTCTGAGTGGTTGATATCCATCCATAGCTCTGTCTGAGTGGTTGATATCCATCCATAGCTCTCTGAGTGGTTGATATCCATCCATAGCTCTGTCTGGGTGGTTGATATCCATCCATAGCTCTGTCTGGGTGGTTGATATCCATCCATAGCTCTGTCTGAGTGGTGATATCCATCCATAGCTCTGTCTGGGTGGTTGATATCCATCCATAGCTCTGTCTGGGTGGTTGATATCCATCCATAGCTCTGTCTGAGTGGTTTCATTTCTCCAGCTTTATAGTTTGACCTGCAGATTGCCCCTAGAAGTTTATTGTTTGACCTGCAGATTGCCCCTAGAAGTTTATAGTTTGACCTGCAGATTGCCCCTAGAAGTTTATAGTTTGACCTGCAGATTGCCCCTAGAAGTTTATAGTTTGACCTGCAGATTGCCTCCTAGAAGTTTATAGTTTGACCTGCAGATTGCCCCTAGAAGTTTATAGTTTGACCTGCAGATTGCCTCCTAGAAGTTTATAGTTTGACCTGCAGATTGCCCCTAGAAGTTTATAGTTTGACCTGCAGATTGCCTCCTAGAAGTTTATAGTTTGACCTGCAGATTGCCCCTAGAAGTTTATAGTTTGACCTGCAGATTGCCTCCTAGAAGTTTATAGTTTGACCTGCAGATTGCCCCTAGAAGTTTATAGTTTGACCTGCAGATTGCCCCTAGAAGTTTATAGTTTGACCTGCAGATTGCCCCTAGAAGTTTATAGTTTGACCTGCAGATTGCCTCCTAGAAGTTTATACACAGGAACGTTGTAGTGTGTTATTAACCCTCAGGTCTAACACCTCTCTGTGAGAACATGCCCAGCGGGAAAGCCAACAAGCCTGGAGACGTCGTCACCGCCAAGAACGGCAAAACCATACAGGTAATTGTTACCGTGGCTACTAAACCATACAGGTAATTGTTACCGTGGCTACTAAACCATACAGGTAATTGTTACCGTGGCTACTAAACTATACAGGTAATTGTTACCGTGGCTACTAAACCATACAGGTGATTGTTACCGTGGCTACTAAACCATACAGGTAATTGTTACCGTGGCTACTAAACCATACAGGTAATTGTTACCGTGGCTACTAAACCATACAGGTAATTGTTACCGTGGCTACTAAACCATACAGGGGTGTGTTTGTTTACATTCCCGTCAAATGAAGTATTAATGTGTGTGTGTGTGTGTGTGTGTGTGTTTGTGTGGTGTGTGTGTGTGTGTGTGTGTGTGTGTGTGTGTGTGTGTGTGTGTAGGTGGACAACACGGATGCAGAGGGAAGGTTGATCCTTGCAGATGCTCTCTGTTACGCTCACAGCTTCAACCCCAGGGCCATCGTCAACGCTGCTACCCTCACTGGTTAGGACAGTGTTTGTGTTTGTGAGAGCGCCACCGCTGTTCACTAAATGGCTAGTCTATTGGTTACTCATGTTTTCTCTGTCTGTCTCTCTGTCTGTCTGGCTCTCTGTCTGTCTGTCTGACTCTCTGTCTGACTCTCTGTCTGTCTGTCTGACTCTCTGTCTGACTCTCTGTCTGTCTGTCTGACTCTCTGGCTGTCTGTCTGACTCTCTGTCTGTCTGACTCTCTGGCTGTCTGTCTGTCTGACTCTCTGTCTGACTCTCTGTCTGTCTGTCTGACTCTCTGTCTGTCTGTCTGACTCTCTGTCTGACTCTCTGTCTGTCTGTCTGACTCTCTGTCTGTCTGTCTGACTCTCTGTCTGTCTGACTCTCTGTCTGTCTGACTCTCTGGCTGTCTGTCTGTCTGGCTCTCTGTCTGTCTGTCTGTCTCTCTGGCTGTCTGTCTGTCTGGCTCTCTGTCTGTCTGTCTGACTCTCTGACTCTCTGTCTGTCTGACTCTCTGTCTGTCTGTCTGACTGTCTGTCTGGCTCTCTGTTTGTCTGGCTCTCTGTCTGTCTGTCTGACTGTCTGTCTGGCTCTCTGTTTGTCTGGCTCTCAGGAGCGATGGATGTTGCTCTGGGTTCAGCAGCAACAGGAGTCTTCACCAACTCTGACTGGCTCTGGGAACAGCTTCACAAGGTAACACACACACACAGAGTACTGAAACATCAGTACTTTAGAGAAAAACGGCCCTGTATTAGAATTGGGTACTTTGGGTTCTTCTATCAAATGTCTCACGTTTGGAAATCAACTAAATGTATTGAACTTGTTCGATTTTTTATTTTTTTTAATTGCCCAATATTATCATAAGACAAGAACAGAAAATATCTGTGATTTCCTGCAACTTTCTGTAGAGGCAACAGCCTGTCTGTCTGTCTGTCTGGTGTGTTGTGAATACTGTCTGTAGAGGCAACAGCCTGCCTGTCTGTCTGGTGTGTTGTGAATACTTTCTGTAGAGGCAACAGCCTGTCTGTCTGTCTGGTGTGTTGTGAATACTTTCTGTAGAGGCAACAGCCTGTCTGTCTGTCTGGTGTGTTGTGAATACTTTCTGTAGAGGCAACAGCCTGCCTGTCTGTCTGGTGTGTTGTGAATACTTTCTGTAGAGGCAACAGCCTGTCTGTCTGTCTGATGTGTTGTGAATACTTTCTGTAGAGGCAACAGTCTGTCTGTCTGTCTGGTGTGTTGTGAATACTTTCTGTAGAGGCAACAGCCTGTCTGTCTGGTGTGTTGTGAATACTTTCTGTAGAGGCAACAGCCTGCCTGTCTGTCTGGTGTGTTGTGAATACTTTCTGTAGAGGCAACAGCCTGTCTGTCTGTCTGGTGTGTTGTGAATACTTTCTGTAGAGGCAACAGCCTGTCTGTCTGTCTGGTGTGTTGTGAATACTGTCTGTAGAGGCAACAGCCTGCCTGTCTGTCTGGTGTGTTGTGAATACTTTCTGTAGAGGCAACAGCCTGCCTGTCTGTCTGGTGTGTTGTGAATACTTTCTGTAGAGGCAACAGCCTGCCTGTCTGTCTGGTGTGTTGTGAATACTTTCTGTAGAGGCAACAGCCTGCCTGTCTGTCTGGTGTGTTGTGAATACTTTCTGTAGAGGCAACAGCCTGTCTGTCTGGTGTGTTGTGAATACTTTCTGTAGAGGCAACAGCCTGTCTGTCTGTCTGGTGTGTTGTGAATACTGTCTGTAGAGGCAACAGCCTGTCTGTCTGTCTGGTGTGTTGTGAATACTTTCTGTAGAGGCAACAGCCTGCCTGTCTGTCTGGTGTGTTGTGAATACTTTCTGTAGAGGCAACAGCCTGTCTGTCTGTCTGGTGTGTTGTGAATACTTTCTGTAGAGGCAACAGTCTGTCTGTCTGTCTGGTGTGTTGTGAATACTTTCTGTAGAGGCAACAGCCTGTCTGTCTGGTGTGTTGTGAATACTTTCTGTAGAGGCAACAGCCTGCCTGTCTGTCTGGTGTGTTGTGAATACTTTCTGTAGAGGCAACAGCCTGTCTGTCTGTCTGGTGTGTTGTGAATACTTTCTGTAGAGGCAACAGCCTGCCTGTCTGTCTGGTGTGTTGTGAATACTTTCTGTAGAGGCAACAGCCTGCCTGTCTGTCTGGTGTGTTGTGAATACTTTCTGTAGAGGCAACAGCCTGTTTGCCTGTCTGGTGTGTTGTGAATACTTTCTGTAGAGGCAACAGCCTGTTTGCCTGTCTGGTGTGTTGTGAATACTTTCTGTAGAGGCAACAGCCTGTCTGTCTGGTGTGTTGTGAATACTTTCTGTAGAGGCAACAGCCTGTCTGTCTGTCTGGTGTGTTGTGAATACTGTCTGTAGAGGCAACAGCCTGTCTGTCTGTCTGGTGTGTTGTGAATACTTTCTGTAGAGGCAACAGCCTGCCTGTCTGTCTGGTGTGTTGTGAATACTTTCTGTAGAGGCAACAGCCTGCCTGTCTGTCTGGTGTGTTGTGAATACTTTCTGTAGAGGCAACAGCCTGTCTGTCTGTCTGGTGTGTTGTGAATACTTTCTGTAGAGGCAACAGCCTGTCTGTCTGGTGTGTTGTGAATACTTTCTGTAGAGGCAACAGCCTGCCTGTCTGTCTGGTGTGTTGTGAATACTTTCTGTAGAGGCAACAGCCTGCCTGTCTGTCTGGTGTGTTGTGAATACTTTCTGTAGAGGCAACAGCCTGCCTGTCTGTCTGGTGTGTTGTGAATACTTTCTGTAGAGGCAACAGCCTGCCTGTCTGTCTGGTGTGTTGTGAATACTTTCTGTAGAGGCAACAGCCTGCCTGTCTGTCTGGTGTGTTGTGAATACTTTCTGTAGAGGCAACAGCCTGTCTGTCTGTCTGGTGTGTTGTGAATACTTTCTGTAGAGGCAACAGCCTGCCTGTCTGTCTGGTGTGTTGTGAATACTTTCTGTAGAGGCAACAGCCTGCCTGTCTGTCTGGTGTGTTGTGAATACTTTCTGTAGAGGCAACAGCCTGCCTGTCTGTCTGGTGTGTTGTGAATACTTTCTGTAGAGGCAACAGCCTGTTTGCCTGTCTGGTGTGTTGTGAATACTTTCTGTAGAGGCAACAGCCTGTTTGCCTGTCTGGTGTGTTGTGAATACTTTCTGTAGAGGCAACAGCCTGTCTGTCTGTCTGGTGTGTTGTGAATACTTTCTGTAGAGGCAACAGCCTGTCTGTCTGTCTGGTGTGGTGTGAATACTGTCTGTAGAGGCAACAGCCTGCCTGTCTGTCTGGTGTGGTGTGAATACTGTCTGTAGAGGCAACAGCCTGTCTGTCTGTCTGGTGTGTTGTGAATACTTTCTGTAGTTGCAACAGCCTGTCTGTCTGGTGTGGTGTGTGTACAGTGTCTTCAAAAAGTATTCACACCCCTTGAATTATTCCACATTTAGTTGTGTTACAGCCTGAATTCAAAATGGAGAAAATCGATTTTTTTCTCCTGAAAAACTCTCCAGTCCTTAATGATGACAAGCATACCCATAACATGATGCAGCCACCACTATGCTTGAAAATATGGAGAGTAGTACTCAGTAATGTGTTGTATTGGATTTTCCCCAAACATAAACACTTTGTATTCAGGACAAAAAGTGAATTGCTTTGCCACATTTTCTGCAGTATTACTTTAGTACCTTGTTGCAAACAGGATGCAAGTTTTGGAATATTTTATTCTGTACAGGCTTCCTTCTTTTCACTCTGTCATTTAGGTTAGTATTGTGGAGTCACTACAATGTTGTTGATCCATCCTCAGTTTTCTCCTATCACAGCCATTAAACTCCGTAACCGTTTTAACGTCACCATTGGCCTCATGGTGAAATCCCTGAGCAGTTTCCTTCCTCTCCGGCAACTGAGTTAGGAAGGACACCTGAATCTTTGCAGTGACTGGGTGTATTGATACACCATCCAAAGTGTAATTAATAACTTCACCATGCTCAAAGCAATATTCAATGTCAGCTTTTTTATTTTTACCCATCTACCAATAGGTGCCCTTCTCTGCGAGGCATTGGAAAACCTCCCTGGTCTTTGTGGTTGAATCTGTGTTTGAAATTCACTGCTCGACTGAGGGACCTTACAGATAATTGTATGTGTGGGGTACAAAGATGAGGTAGTCATCCATAAATCATGTTAAATACTATTATTACACACAGTGTCCATGCACATTTTTACTCCTGAACTTTAGGCTTGCCATAACAAAGGGGTTGAATACTTATTGACTCAAGACATTTTCATTTTTCATTTGTTATTTATTTCTTAAAATTTTGAAAAACATAATTCTACTTTTAAATTATTGTGTGTAGGCCAGTGACAAAATATCTAAATGTATTCCATTTTAAATTCAGGCTGTAACTCAACAAAATGTGGAAAAGTCAAGGGGTGTGAAAACTTTCTGAAGGCGCTGCATGTCTACACTCTGTAACCGTTAGCGATGCTAATGATACGGATGCTAATGATAACATTCTTCAGGTAGATGGAAAGGCTTTCCCAAAAACCATCTCAATTAAGAGTTAACTACAAAGTAGCCAATGCATTTTTGCATCAAACCAGTGGGCACATGTTTTTGCTAACTTCGTTACATGTGCGCTACAGAAACGTCCTTAGATATTTTTTTCCCGACCTCAAATGGTCTCCTGATGTGGAGTTAGAACATCGAATGTCATTGTTTTTCTATTAAAAAGTGTGATTTTTGAGAGTGGAAACCTGGAAGAATCTGTCCTTGTCCCTGTATCGTTTTGGTATTGAGTATCGAAGGCAAAATTCTGGCGTCGTGACAACACTAACACACTGCGGTGCGTCGTGACCGCACTAACACACTGTGGTGCGTCGTGACAACACTAACACCCTGTGGTGCGTCGTGACAACACTAACACCCTGTGGTGCGTCGTGACAACACTAACACCCTGTGGTGCGTCGTGACAACACTAACACACTATGGTGCGTCGTGACAGCACTAACACACTGTGGTGCGTCGTGACAACACTAACACCCTGTGGTGCGTCGTGACAACACTAACACCCTGTGGTGCGTCGTGACAACACTAACACACTGTGGTGCGTCGTGACAACACTAACGCTCTGTGGTGCGTCGTGACAGCACTAACACCCTGCGGTGCGTCGTGACAACACTAACACACACTGTGGTGCGTCTGTGTGTTTAGGCCAGCGTGGTAACACCCTGTGGTGCGTCGTGACAACACTAACACACTGTGGTGCGTCGTGACAACACTAACACACTGTGGTGCGTCGTGACAACACTAACACACTGTGGTGCGTCGTGACAACACTAACACACTGTGGTGCGTCGTGACAACACTAACACACTGTGGTGCGTCGTGACAACACTAACACACTGCGGTGCGTCGTGACAACACTAACACACTGTGGTGCGTCGCGACAACACTAACACACTGCGGTGCGTCGCGACAGCACTAACACACTGCGGTGCGTCGCGACAACACTAACACACTGTGGTGCGTCGCGACAACACTAACACACTGCGGTGCGTCGTGACAACACTAACACACTGTGGTGCGTCGTGACAACACTAACACACTGTGGTGCGTCGTGACAACACTAACACACTGTGTTGCGTCGTGACAACACTAACACACTGCGTTGCGTCGTGACAACACTAACACACTGTGGTGCGTCGCGACAACACTAACACACTGCGGTGCGTCGCGACAGCACTAACACACTGCGGTGCGTCGTGACAACACTAACACACTGTGGTGCGTCGCGACAACACTAACACACTGTGGTGCGTCGCGACAACACTAACACACTGTGGTGCGTCGTGACAACACTAACACACACTGTGGTGCGTCGTGACAACACTAACACACTGCGGTGCGTCGTGACAACACTAACACACTGCGGTGCGTCGTGACAACACTAACACACTGCGGTGCGTCGTGACAGCACTAACACACTGCGGTGCGTCGTGACAACACTAACACCCTGCGGTGCGTCGTGACAGCACTAACACCCTGCGGTGCGTCGTGACAGCACTAACACCCTGCGGTGCGTCGTGACAACACTAACACCCTGTGGTGCGTCGTGACAGCACTAACACACTGTGGTGCGTCGTGACAACACTAACGCACTGTGGTGCGTCGTGACAACACTAATGCACTGTGGTGCGTCGTGACAACACTAACACACTGACAACACTAACACACTGTGGTGCGTCGTGACAACACTAACACACTGTGGTGCGTCGTGACAGCACTAACACACTGTGGTGCGTCGTGACAACACTAACACCCTGTGGTGCGTCGTGACAGCACTAACACACTGTGGTGCGTCGTGACAACACTAACACACTGTGGTGCGTCGTGACAACACTAACGCACTGTGGTGCGTCGTGACAACACTAACGCACTGTGGTGCGTCGTGACAACACTAACGCACTGTGGTGCGTCGTGACAACACTAACGCACTGTGGTGCGTCGTGACAACACTAACGCACTGTGGTGCGTCGTGACAACACTAACGCACTGTGGTGCGTCGTGACAACACTAACGCACTGTGGTGCGTCGTGACAACACTAACACACTGTGGTGCGTCGTGACAACACTAACACCCTGTGGTGCGTCGTGACAACACTAACACCCTGTGGTGCGTCTGTGTGTTTAGGCCAGTGTGGTAACACCCTGTGGTGCGTCTATGTGTTTAGGCCAGCGTGGTAACAGGAGACCGGGTGTGGAGGATGCCGTTGTTTGAACATTACACCAGACAGGTCACTGACTGCCAGCTGGCTGACCTCAACAACGTCGGCAAGTACAGCCGGTAAGAACACGAGAACACACACACACACACACACACACAGACACACACACACAGACACACACACACACACACACACACACACACACAGAGGTAAGAAACAACCCTAAACAACTTCTGTGTTAATGCCATCTTCTGACCTGTGTCTGACCTGTGTGTGTGTGTGTGTGTAGTTCTGGCGGAGCCTGCACGGCCGCAGCATTTCTGAGGGAGTTTGTGACGGCCCCTCATTGGGCGCACCTGGACATCGCCGGGGTGATGACCAATAAGGACGAGGTACGGTAGTCTTCTGGAACGTTGATCTTTGAACTGTTTGATAATGTATTTTACCAGGTTGGTCTCATTGAGATTAAACATCTTTTGCAAAAGAGACCAGGCCAAAATAGCAGCACACAAAGTTTAAAACATGTACAACATAAAACACTGTGGTCCTGTGTAGCTCAGCTGGTAGAGCACGGCGCTTGTAACGCCAGGGTAGTGGGTTCGATCCCCGGGACCACCCATACGTAAAAATGTATGCACACATGACTGTAAGTCACTTTGGATAAAAGCGTCTGCTAAATGGCGTATTATTATTATTATTATTATTATTACAGTTTAAAGTTTGACTATTGGGGAAAATGCTAAAATAAAGGCTTTTAACTGTAGAACTGATCAATGCACCATCGCACCAGGTCAGTGAATCCTTCAAAACTAAAACAAACGGATGAAGAAGATATTTGGCTACAGAAATGACGTTTCTTACTGATCTCTACAGCTTCCTGTGAAGTGACGTTTCTTACTGATCTCTACAGCTTCCTGTGAAGTGCCGTTTCTTACTGATCTCTACAGCTTCCTGTGAAGTGCCGTTTCTTACTGATCTCTACAGCTTCCTGTGAAGTGACGTTTCTTACTGATCTCTACAGCTTCCTGTGAAGTGCCGTTTCTTACTGATCTCTACAGCTTCCTGTGAAATGACGTTTCTTACTGATCTCTACAGCTTCCTGTGAAATGACGTTTCTTACTGATCTCTACAGCTTCCTGTGAAGTGACGTTTCTTACTGATCTCTACAGCTTCCTGTGAAGTGCCGTTTCTTACTGATCTCTACAGCTTCCTGTGAAGTGACGTTTCTTACTGATCTCTACAGCTTCCTGTGAAATGCCGTTTCTTACTGATCTCTACAGCTTCCTGTGAAGTGCGTTTCTTACTGATCTCTACAGCTTCCTGTGAAGTGCCGTTTCTTACTGATCTCTACAGCTTCCTGTGAAGTGCCGTTTCTTACTGATCTCTACAGCTTCCTGTGAAGTGCCGTTTCTTACTGATCTCTACAGCTTCCTGTGAAGTGCCGTTTCTTACTGATCTCTACAGCTTCCTGTGAAGTGCCGTTTCTTACTGATCTCTACAGCTTCCTGTGAAGTGCCGTTTCTTACTGATCTCTACAGCTTCCTGTGAAGTGACGTTTCTTACTGATCTCTACAGCTTCCTGTGAAGTGCGTTTCTTACTGATCTCTACAGCTTCCTGTGAAGTGCCGTTTCTTACTGATCTCTACAGCTTCCTGTGAAGTGCCGTTTCTTACTGATCTCTACAGCTTCCTGTGAAGTGCCGTTTCTTACTGATCTCTACAGCTTCCTGTGAAGTGCCGTTTCTTACTGATCTCTACAGCTTCCTGTGAAGTGCGTTTCTTACTGATCTCTACAGCTTCCTGTGAAGTGCCGTTTCTTACTGACTCTACAGCTTCCTGTGAAGTGCCGTTCTATGATCTCTAAGCTTCCTGTGAAGTGCCGTTTCTTACTGATCTCTACAGCTTCCTGTGAAGTGCCGTTTCTTACTGATCTCTACAGCTTCCTGTGAAGTGCCGTTTCTTACTGATCTCTACAGCTTCCTGTGAAGTGCCGTTTCTTACTGATCTCTACAGCTTCCTGTGAAGTGCCGTTTCTTACTGATCTCTACAGCTTCCTGTGAAGTGCCGTTTCTTACTGATCTCTACAGCTTCCTGTGAAGTGACGTTTCTTACTGATCTCTACAGCTTCCTGTGAAGTGACGTTTCTTACTGATCTCTACAGCTTCCTGTGAAGTGACGTTTCTTACTGATCTCTACAGCTTCCTGTGAAGTGCCGTTTCTTACTGATCTCTACAGCTTCCTGTGAAGTGACGTTTCTTACTGATCTCTACAGCTTCCTGTGAAGTGACGTTTCTTACTGATCTCTACAGCTTCCTGTGAAGTGACGTTTCTTACTGATCTCTACAGCTTCCTGTGAAATGACGTTTCTTATGATCTAATGATCTGTAAGTCGCTCTGGTAAGAGCGTGCTAATGACCTATTTTATTATTTAATATCTCTACAGCTTCCTGTGAAATGACGTTTCTTACTGATCTCTACAGCTTCCTGTGAAGTGACGTTTCTTACTGATCTCTACAGCTTCCTGTGAAGTGACGTTTCTTACTGATCTCTACAGCTTCCTGTGAAGTGACGTTTCTTACTGATCTCTACAGCTTCCTGTGAAGTGACGTTCTTACGACTTACCTTCTGAATGACTTCTTTGATCTCTAAGCTTCCTGTGAAGTGACGTTTCTTACTGATCTCTACAGCTTCCTGTGAAGTGACGTTTCTTACTGATCTCTACAGCTTCCTGTGAAGTGACGTTTCTTACTGATCTCTACAGCTTCCTGTGAAGTGACGTTTCTTACTGATCTCTACAGCTTCCTGTGAAGTGACGTTTCTTACTGATCTCTACAGCTTCCTGTGAAGTGCCGTTCTACTGATCCTACAGTTCTGTGAAGTGCCGTTTCTTACTGACTCTACAGCTTCGCTAAGCCTTCACTGACCTAAGCTTCTTGATGCGTTCTTACGATCTCTACAGCTTCCTGGAAGTGACGTTCTTACTGATCCTACAGCTTCCTGAAGTGCGTTCTTATGATCTACAGCTTCCTGTGAAGTGACGTTCTTACGATCTCTACAGCTTCCTGTGAGTGCGTTTCTTTCTGTCTCTACAGCTTCCTGTGAAGTACGTTCTACTGATCTAAGCTCCGGACTTTCTACGATCTCACATTCCCGTGAAGTGACGTTTACTGATCCTACAGCTCCTGTGAATGACGTTTCTTTCTGATCTCTACAGCTCCTGTGAAGTGACGTTCTTACTGATCTCTACAGCTTCCTGTGAGTGACGTTCTTATGATCTTACAGCTCCGTGAAATGACGTTTCTACTGATCTCTACAGCTTCCTGTGAATGAGTTCTTACTGGACTCTACAGCTTCTGTAAATGACGTTTCTTACGATCTCTCAGTTCCTGTGAATGACGTTTCTTACTGATCTCTACAGCTTCCTAGTAATGACGTCTACGATTCTACAGCTTCCTGTGAAATGACGTTTCTTACTGACTCACAGCTTCCTGTGAAATGACGTTTCTTACTGATCCTACAGCTTCCTGGAAATGACGTTCTACTGATCTCTACAGCTTCTGTAAGACGTTTCTACTGATCTCACACTCCTGTGAATGACGTTTTACTGACTCTACAGCTTCACTGGATGACGTTCTATGATCTTACAGCTACCTGGAAATGAGTTCTTACTGACTCCCGCTTCCTGTGAGATTTCTTATGATCACAGCTTCCTGTGAAATGACGTCAGCAAATACTGGAGGAGTTACTGGCCAGCTACAGTGGCTAGCTTAGCTAACGAACTAGCTACGACACATCAACACATACTGGAGGAGTTACTGGCCAGCTACAGTGGCTAGCTAAGCTAACGAACTAGCTACGACACATCAACACATACTGGAGGAGTTACTGGCCAGCTACAGTGGCTAGCTTAGCTAACGAACTAGCTACGACACATCAACACATACTGGAGGAGTTACTGGCCAGCTACAGTGGCTAGCTTAGCTAACGAACTAGCTACGACACATCAACACATACTGGAGGAGTTACTGGCCAGCTACAGTGGCTAGCTTAGCTAACGAACTAGCTACGACACATCAACTCATACTGGAGGAGTTACTGGCCAGCTACAGTGGCTAGCTAAGCTAACGAACTAGCTACGACACATCAACACATACTGGATGAGTTACTGGCCAGCTACAGTGGCTAGCTTATCTAACGAACTAGCTACGACACATCAACACATACTGGAGGAGTTACTGGCTAGCTACAGTGGCTAGCTTAGCTAACGAACTAGCTACGACACATCAACTCATACTGGAGGAGTTACTGGCTAGCTACAGTGGCTAGCTTAGCTAACGAACTAGCTACGACACATCAACACATACTGGAGGAGTTACTGGCCAGCTACAGTGGCTAGCTTATCTAACGAACTAGCTACGACACATCAACACATACTGGAGGAGTTACTGGCCAGCTACAGTGGCTAGCTTAGCTAACGAACTAGCTATGTCGGTCGCGGCGCGCATGATCAGAATGACACATCGATGAACCACCAAAGGCACACCCCATTTCTGTTTGAAAATTGAGAAAGAGGCGGAATTGGACCGTTTTTTTGTGCCCAAAGTCGACCTTTAAAAACATCAGTTGAACAGCTACAACTGCTTCTGATAGTGTTCTAGAACCATGATCACAACTGCTTCTGATAGTGTTCTAGAACCATGATCACTTCTGTTAGTGTTCTAGAACCAGGATGATCAGAACCACGTTAGACTTTTAGAACCATGATGATCAGAACTGTTTCGGAACAGACTGAATGTTCTGTAAGGGTGACGGGTTGGATTGCTGAGAGACACTGGCTGTTTTCCTGCTAGACATTAACAATACACTTTGTTTCTCTTTTTAGATTCTCTCTCTTGCTCCTTTCTCGCTCACTGTTTGTGTCTTGTCTGTTTGTCTCTCTCCAGGTTCCCTACCTGAAGAAAGGAATGTCTGGACGACCGACACGAACACTGGTGGAGTTCGCTGCTGGACTGGCCAACCAAGCCTGAAGAGAGAGACCACACCCACACACTGAGCTGGCTGGAGAAGGATTATTCTGTAGAGACAGAGACTGTGGTACCGTGTAGAATCACAGACTACATCCCAAATAGCACCCTATTCCCTATCTGGTGCACTACCCCATAGGAGTCTGGTCAAAAGTAGTGCACTAAATAGACATCAGTCCTGTGAAGCATTTGGCCCGCGAGCCCATTCAGTCCGGCCTGCGGGTGGTTTGATGATCTTTATGGACATTGAAATGACAAAAACCAACTGGAAACTGTAGAATTGATAATGGACCTACATTTATAGTCTCTTCACTCTGTCCAGCTTGATAACAGTCATTTATAGTCTCTTCCCTCTGTCCAGCTTGATAACAGTCATTTATAGTCTCTTCCCTCTGTCCAGCTTGATAAGTCATGTATAGTCTCTTCCCTCTGTCCAGCTTGATAACAGTCATTTATAGTCTATTCCCTCTGTCCAGCTTGATAACAGTCATTTATAGTCTCTTCCCTCTGTCCAGCTTGATAACAGTCATTTATAGTCTCTTCCCTCTGTCCAGCTTGATAACAGTCATTTATAGTCTCTTCACTCTGTCCAGCTTGATAACAGTCATTTATAGTCTCTTCCCTCTGTCCAGCTTGATAACAGTCATTTATAGTCTCTTCCCTCTGTCCAGCTTGATAAGTCATTTATAGTCTCTTCCCTCTGTCCAGCTTGATAACAGTCATTTATAGTCTCTTCACTGTGTCCAGCTTGATAAGTCATTTATAGTCTCTTCACTCTGTCCAGCTTGATAACAGTCATTTATAGTCTCTTCACTCTGTCCAGCTTGATAAGTCATTTATAGTCTCTTCACTCTGTCCAGCTTGATAACAGTCATTTATAGTCTCTTCACTCTGTCCAGCTTGATAAGTCATTTATAGTCTCTTCACTCTGTCCAGCTTGATAACAGTCATGTATACTCTCTTCACTCTGTCCAGCTTGATAAGTCATTTATAGTCTCTTCACTCTGTCCAGCTTGATAACAGTCATTTATAGTATCTTCACTCTGTCCAGCTTGATAAGTCATTTATAGTCTCTTCACTCTGTCCAGCTTGATAACAGTCATTTATAGTCTCTTCACTCTGTCCAGCTTGATAACAGTCATGTATACTCTCTTCACTCTGTCCAGCTTGATAAGTCATTTATAGTCTCTTCACTCTGTCCAGCTTGATAACAGTCATTTATAGTCTCTTCCCTCTGTCCAGCTTGATAACAGTCATTTATAGTCTCTTCACTCTGTCCAGCTTGATAAGTCATTTATAGTCTCTTCACTCTGTCCAGCTTGATAACAGTCATTTACAGTCTCTTCACTGTGTCCAGCTTGATACCAGTCATTTACAGTCTCTTCACTGTGTCCAGCTTGATACCAGTCATTTACAGTCTCTTCCCTCTGTCCAGCTTGATAACAGTCATTTACAGTCTCTTCACTGTGTCCAGCTTGATAACAGTCATTTACAGTCTCTTCACTCTGTCCAGCTTGATAACAGTCATGTATACTCTCTTCACTCTGTCCAGCTTGATAACAGTCATTTATAGTCTCTTCCCTCTGTCCAGCTTGATAACAGTCATTTATAGTCTCTTCACTCTGTCCAGCTTGATAACAGTCATTTACAGTCTCTTCACTGTGTCCAGCTTGATAACAGTCATTTACAGTCTCTTCACTCTGTCCAGCTTGATAACAGTCATTTATAGTCTCTTCCCTCTGTCCAGCTTGATAAGTCATTTATAGTCTCTTCACTCTGTCCAGCTTGATAACAGTCATTTATAGTCTCTTCACTCTGTTCAGCTTGATAACAGTCATTTATAGTCTCTTCACTCTGTCCAGCTTGATAAGTCATTTATAGTCTCTTCACTCTGTCCAGCTTGATAACAGTCATTTATAGTCTCTTCACTCTGTCCAGCTTGATAACAGTCATTTATAGTCTCTTCACTCTGTCCAGCTTGATAACAGTCATTTATAGTCTCTTCCCTCTGTCCAGCTTGATAACAGTCATTTATAGTCTCTTCCCTCTGTCCAGCTTGATAAGTCATTTATAGTCTCTTCACTCTGTCCAGCTTGATAACAGTCATTTATAGTCTCTTCCCTCTGTCCAGCTTGATAAGTCATTTATAGTCTCTTCACTCTGTCCAGCTTGATAACAGTCATTTATAGTCTCTTCCCTCTGTCCAGCTTGATAAGTCATTTATAGTCTCTTCCCTCTGTCCAGCTTGATAACAGTCATGTATAGTCTCTTCACTCTGTCCAGCTTGATAAGTCATCAAAATGAAAGCTAGACAGGGAACATACACAATTCCAAAAGCCTTGGATGGACAATTTTTAGCAAACTTTGATGGCCATAAAATATAATGAATTTTAAGTGCAGGCCTCGGTGAAGGGCAAAATGAGTTTCACACCTGCTGCCCTATGTAGTGTACTACCCATAGGACTGTGGTCAAAAGTAGTGCACTATATAGGGAATAGGGTGTCATTTGGGATGTACTCTGAGTCATCTGGTAGTAGCCTGCTGTGGATAGAGGGTTGAAGAGGACATTTCCACCCCCCCGGGCCACAGCACTAGCAACTAAGCCTAGTTTATAGCCTACATACGAACTCATTGAGAAACTGCATTTTCATGTAAATGGACAATAAAGTGTGTTGTATCCTACCCTTACAAAAAGGATTGCAGTATGTTGCAAATACTGCGTCCAAAATACCACAGTCGACTGCACTTTTCCTGCAATCTTTTTTTTTGTGTGAGTGTAACTACAAGTAGCTATGCAAAATGTTGTTGCGTAGCAACACGACGCAGCCCCGCCATTTATACCTGGATGGCCATTTTGCGTAGCGTTCTTGCGTTGCATACGTAGAGTAAAAACTAGGCTTCAGTGTCAGTCAGGAAACAAACCGGGTAGTAGTGGGAGAAACTCCTATACTGAAGTTGGTATGCACTTCTGCAGACAAAAACTGTAAAATAGTTTTGCCAATATTATCATGTAATTTAAATAAAACACCAATAAAACTATATTTTGGATCAATTTGCCTGTCTTGTATCCTCATTATAATATTATAGCTGCATGTAAATTACAATTTGCTTTACTTTTTGTATTTGAATAAAACTTTTTTTTTATAGTCATTTAGTAGAAGCTATCAAATTCGTCAGCCAGTGTGGCGTGTACTGAGCATTGCGTGCAGCGGCCTCACGGACCGGTACAGACAAACCATCCAAGATGTCTTCCTCCATGGGCAGCGGGATGTTCCCCGGCCAGCAGCCCGCTGGTCCTCACCCTGTCGGCGGCCCGGGTCAGCCGGGACTACTGCCCGGAGGAGCTCCAGGGAACAGGGTCCAGGGCCCCAACACTCTGGTAGACGACCTGGAGGCTTCTTTCGAGGTACGAGAGCGACTACTCTGCTGTCCCGGTGTGATGCTAGCTAGCCTAGCCTAGCCTAGCCAGCCGTGGTATAGCTAACGTAATGATGCTAGCCTAGCCAGCCGTGGTATAGCTAACGTAATGATGCTAGCTAGCTAGCCTAGCCAGCCGTGGTATAGCTAACGTAATGATGCTAGCTAGCCTAGCCAGCCGTGGTATAGCTAACGTAGTGATGCTAGCTAGCCTAGCCAGCCGTGGTATAGCTAACGTAATGATGCTAGCTAGCTAGCCTAGCCAGCCGTGGTATAGCTAACGTAGTGATCATAGCTAGCGCACCACACTGTTTGTCTACTAACTAGATAGCGCTAGCTGACTGCATACCAAACTTATGTCTGTGGTTACTGCCCAGTATGTCAGCTAGTTACAAAGCTACCGTTCTTTTGAAAATGTAACCAGCTACCTAAATGAAGCATAGCCTTTGGACTGCCTGGCGTTACCGAAGCCAGGTAACGTTAAGTAGTTAGCTAACGTTAGTTACGTTGTGTCTGCAGGCATGCTTTGCTATACTATGCTGGGTTGCCTGGACACTGAATTCGCACATTACATGTAATGTTACGCTATAGCTAGCTAAAAGTACAGGATCTCTGGCGTATCGGTAATGCAGCTAGCTAAGTGCTAGCAGCGAACTGTTAACCCAGTTGTCTTGTGTCAGCAGGCTTGCTTTGCGTCCCTAGTAAGTCAAGACTACGTGAACGGAACCGACCAGGAAGAAATTCGGACAGGTGAGACCTGTAAAGCTAACGGCCCAAATGGCACCCTATTCCCAGACAAGCTCCTAGGTGACCAACAAACGTCCTCCCACCAGGATAGCTACAGGGTATGCATGGTTTTGCTCCAGCCCTGTTTCTAACACACCTGATTTAGCCAATCAGGGTCCAGATGAGCAGCTGGTTGGTGGAATCAGGTGTTTTACAGTGGGGCTGCAGCAAAAGCCTGCACACCCAGTAACTCAGGAGGAGGAGGGTTGGCCAGCCTTGGGGAAGTTAGCTAGTTGCATTGTAAACAGTTTGAAACACATTCATATTTCATCACTTTGCTTATCTAGCCACAGTTACCTGGCTTACATGTCTGTCTCGCTAACCTGTCTGTCTTGCTAACCTGTCTGTTTCTCTAGCTGTCTCTGTGTCTGTCTGTCTCTAACCTACCCGTCTGTCTCCCCAGGTGTGGATCAGTGTATTCAGAAGTTTCTGGATGTTGCCAGACAGACAGAATGTTTCTTCCTGCAGAAGCGTCTTCAGCTATCAGTCCAGAAACCTGAGCAGGTGGTCAAAGAGGTAGGTGATAGTGTACACCAGGGGTATTCAAATCTTACCCTACCAGCCTTTCTGTTCTACCAGATCATTTAATAGCACTCACCTGGTGTCTCGGGTCTAAATCAGTCCCTGATTAGAGAGGAAGAATGGGAGAAAAAACACCAGTGGAACTGGCTTCTAGTTCCAGATTTGAATTTGATGGCTCATGATGGAGGAGGGCGAAGTCGCCCCTAGATGCTGATCTGGGGTCAGTGTTTCATTTCCCCACTAATGGATAAGGTTAGGATTGGGGGAGGAGAAGCTGATTCTAGATCTGGGGTCAGTGTTTCATTTCCCCCACTAATGGATAAGGTTAGGATTGGGGGAGGAGAAGCTGATTCTAGATCTGGGGTCAGTGTTTCATTTCCCCCACTAATGGATAAGGTTAGGATTGGGGGAGGAGAAGCTGATTCTAGATCTGGGGTCAGTGTTTCATTTCCCCCACTAATGGTTAATGTTAGGATTGGGGGAGGTGAAGCTGATTCTAGATCTGGGGTCAGTGTTTCATTTTCCCCACTAATGGTTAATGTTAGGATTGGGGGAGGAGAAGCTGATTCTAGATCTGGGGTCAGTGTTTCATTTTCCCCACTAATGGTTAATGTTAGGATTGGGGGAGGTGAAGCTGATTCTAGATCTGGGGTCAGTGTTTCATTTTCCCCACTAATGGATAAGGTTAGGATTGGGGGAGGAGAAGCTGATTCTAGATCTGTACAAAGGGGAAAATGCTCCCTGGAGCTCTATGTATGGGGGGACTTCACCAGTATAGTGATATTCTGGTGTTAGGACGGCCACCCACCGCTATTAACAGCTGATCCATCTCTCCTCCCTCTTTCTCCTCCCTCTTTCTCCTCCCTTCCTCTCTCCCTCCCTCTCCTCTCTCTCCTCTCTCCCTCCCTCTCCTCTCTCCCTCCCTCTCTCTCTCTCTCTCTCTCCCTCTCCTCTCTCCCTACCTCTCCTCTCTCCCTCCCTCTCCTCTCTCCCTCCCTCTCCTCTCTCCCTACCTCTCCTCTCTCCCTACCTCTCCTCTCTCCCTACCTCTCTCCCTACCTCTCCTCTCTCCCTCCCTCTCCTCTCCCTCTCCAGGATGTGTCTGAGCTGCGGAATGAACTCCAGAGGAAAGAGCTGCTGGTCCAGAAACACCTGTCTAAGCTTCACCACTGGCAGCAGGTACGTCCTCTCTCCTCCGTGACCCGGGCAACCGATAAGTGGTTGAGGAGTCTGTACATTTGTTAGTAGGCAAACGGAAGATGGTCCTCCCCTCCTCGATAGCATCCTTTTGGCGAGGAAGCACAAGTGTATCCTACATGAGTCCTTCACGGAAGAGTTTGGAAATCTGCCGCACCCCCTTTTTCGAAAGGAGGCGAGAGAAGACTGAGGAGTTGAGCAAAAGCCCATGGTCTACTTCGCTGGCACAGTCCCGCCTCTCCCGCATCACTTCCTGGATCCAGTCTCATACTGTTTTTGAATGGGCTTCAAGATTATTACATTTACATTTTAGTCATTTAGCAGACGCTCTTATCCAGAGCGACTTACAGGAGCAATTAGGTGTTAAGTGCCTTGCTCAAGGGCACATCGACGGATTTGATTGTATCATAGAATTCATGAAAATGTGGTCATTTTAAGATGTATATGAAATTCTATTTGTATATACAGTACCAGTCAAAAGTTTGGACACACCTACTAATTCCAGGGTTTTTCTTTATTTTTACTATTTTCTACATTGTAGAATAATAGTGAAGACATCAAAACTATGAAATAACACATATGGAATCATGTAGTAACCAAAAAATTGTTAAACAAATCAAAATATATTTTATATTTGAGATTCTTCAAAGTAGCCACCCTTTGCCTTGATGACAGCTTTGTACACTCTTGGCATTCTCTCAACCAGCTTCACCTGGAATGCTTTTCCAACAGTCTTGGAGTTCCCACATATGCTTAGCACTTGTTGGCTGCTTTTCCTTCACTCTGCGGTCCAACTCATCCCAAACCATCTCAATTGGGTTGAGTTTGGGTGATTGTGGAGGCCAGGTCATCTGATGCAGCACTCCATCACTCTCCTTCTTGGTCAAATAGCCCTTACACAGCCTGGAGGTGTGTTGGGTCATTGTCTTGTTGAAAAACAAATGATAGTCCCACTAAGCCCAAACCAGATGGGATGGCGTATAACTGCAGAATGCTGTGGTAGCCATGCTGGTTAAGTGTGCCTTGAATTCTAAATAAATCACAGACAGTGTCACCAGCAAAGTACCATCACACCATAACACCTCCTCCTCCATGCTTCACAGTGGGAACCACACATGCGGAGATCATCTGTTCATCTACTCTGCGTCTCACAAAGACACAGTGTTTGGAACCAAAAATCTCACATTTGGACTCCAGACCAAAGGACAGATTTCCACCGGTCTAATGTCCATTGCTCGTGTTTCTTGGCCCAAGCAAGTCTCTTCTTATTGGTGTCCTTTAGTAGTGGTTTCTTTGCAGCAATTCGACCATGAAGGCCTGATTCACACAGTCTCCTCTGAACAGTTGATGTTGAGATGTGTCTGTTACTTGAACTCTGAAGCATTTATTTGGGCTGCAATCTGAGGCTGGTAACTCTAATGAACTTATCCTCTGCAGCAGAGGTAACTCTGGGTCTTCCATTCCTGTGGCGGTCCTCATGAGAGCCAGTTTCATCATAGCGCTTGATGGTTTTTGCGACTGCACTTGAAGAAACTTTCAAAGTTCTTGAAATGTTCCGTATTGAATGACCTTCATGTCTTAAAGTAATGATGGACTGTAATTTCTCTTTGCTTATTTGAGCTGTTATTGCCATAATATGGACTTGGTCTTTTACCAAATAGGGCTATCTTCTGTATAACCCCCCTACCTTGTCACAACACAACTGATTGGCTCAAACGCATTAAGAAGGAAAGAAATTCCACAACTTAACTTTTAAGAAGGCATACCTGTTAATTGAAATGCATTCCAGGTGACTACCTCATGAAGCTGGTTGAGAGAATGCCAAGAGTGTGCAAAGCTGTCATCAAGGCAAAGGGTGGCGATTTTAAAGAATCTCAAATATAAAATATATTTTAATTTGTTTAACGCTTTTTTTGGTTACTACATGATTCCATGTGTTATTTCATAGTTTTGATGTCTTCACTATTATTCTACAATGTAGAAAATAGTAAAAATAAAGAAAAAGCCTTGAATGAGTAGGTGGGTCCAAACCTTTTGACAGGTACTGTAGGTGTTATAATAACGTGTCTGTAGGTTCTGGAGGATGTCAGGTCCAGCATCATGATAACATGTCTGTCTGTAGTTAATATAATGTCTGTACTGTCTGTAGGTTCTGGAGGATGTCAGGTCCAGCATCATGATAACATGTCTGTCTGTAGTTAATATAATGTCTGTACTGTCTGTAGGTTCTGGAGGATGTCAGTGTCCAGCATCGTAAACCGTCAGACCTCCCGCCACCTGGACCCCTGGCCTTTCTGGAACAGGCTTCTGCTAGTCTGCCCCCTGCACCACTCAAACAGACCTAACACACACCTCCGCTAGTCTGTCCTTCGCTCCTCTCTGACGTAACACACACCTCCGCTAGTCTGTCCTTCGCTCCTCTCAGACCTAACACACACCTCCGCTAGCCTGTCCTTCGCTCCTCTCTGACGTAACACACACCTCCGCTAGTCTGTCCTTCGCTCCTCTCAGACCTAACACACACCTCCACTAGTCTGTCCTTCGCTCCACTCTGACGTAACACACACCTCCACTAGTCTGTCCTTCGCTCCACTCTGACGTAACACACACCTCCACTAGTCTGCCCTTCGCTCCCCTCTGACCTAACACACACCTCCGCTAGTCTGTCCTTCGCTCCTCTCTGACGTAACACACACCTCCGCTAGTCTGCCCTTCGCTCCTCTCCGACGTAACACACACCTCTCTCTTCCAGAGAGAACGTCATCTTTATGTTTTCTATTTGACTTGTGTAAATATTTCTTTTGAGTCTGTTGTTTTGTCCTGACAGAATAAATGAGTTTGGATCGGAACACCGCCTGTTTTGTCCTGACAGAATAAATGAGTTTGGATCAGAACATCGCCTGTTTTGTCCAGACAGAATACATGTGTTTGGATCAGAACAACACCGGTTGTTTTGTCCAGACAGAATACATGAGTTTGGATCAGAACAACACCGGTTGTTTTGTCCAGACAGAATACATGAGTTTGGATCAGAACAACACCGGTTGTTTTGTCCTGACAGAATAAATGAGATTGGATCAGAATAGGTGTCAGGTGGGTTTGACGGCCTGGGAATGATTCACCTGTTGGCTCAGTGGTTAGTCGTCAGGTGGGTTTGACTGGGCCTGGGAATGATTCACCTGTTGACTCAGTGGTTAGTAGTCAGGTGGGGTTGACTGGGCCTGGGAATGATTCACCTGTTGGCTCAGTGGTTAGTAGTCAGGTGGGGTTGACTGGGCCTGGGAATGATTCACCTGTTGGCTCAGTGGTTAGTAGTCAGGTGGGTTTGACTGGGCCTGGGAATGATTCACCTGTTGGCTCAGTGGTTAGTAGTCAGGTGGGGTTGACGGCCTGGGAATGATTCACCTGTTGGCTCAGTGGTTAGTAGTCAGGTGGGTTTGACTGGGCCTGGGAATGATTCACCTGTTGGCTCAGTGGTTAGTAGTTAGGTGTCAGGTGGGTTTGACTGGGCCTGGGAATGATTCACCTGTTGACTCAGTGGTTAGTAGTCAGGTGGGGTTGACTGGGCCTGGGAATGATTCACCTGTTGACTCAGTGGTTAGTAGTCAGGTGGGTTTGACTGGGCCTGGATATGATTCACCTGTTGGCTCAGTGGTTAGTAGTCAGGTGGGTTTGACTGGGCCTGGGAATGATTCACCTGTTGACTCAGTGGTTAGTAGTCAGGTGGGTTTGACGGCCTGGGAATGATTCACCTGTTGGCTCAGTGGTTAGTCGTTAGGTGTCAGGTGGGTTTGACTGGGCCTGGGAATGATTCACCTGTTGGCTCAGTGGTTAGGGCGGCAGGTAGCTTAGTGGGTAAGAGCGTTGTGCCAGTAACCGAAAGGTCGCTGGTTCTAATCCCCGAGCCGACTAGGTGAAAAATCTGTCGATGTGCCCTTGAGCAAGGCACTTAACCCTAATTGCTCCTGTAAGTCGCTCTGGATAAGAGCGTCTGCTAAATGACCAAAAATAAAATAAATAAAATTAGTAGTCAGGTGGGTTTGACTGGGCCTGGGAATGATTCACCTGTTGGCTCAGTGGTTAGTCGTTAGGTGTCAGGTGGGTTTGACTGGGCCTGGGAATGATTCACCTGTTGGCTCAGTGGTTAGTCGTTAGGTGTCAGGTGGGTTTGACTGAGCCTGGGAATGATTCACCTGTTGGCTCAGTGGTTAGTAGTCAGGTGGGTTTGACTGGGCCTGGGAATGATTCACCTGTTGGCTCAGTGGTTAGTAGTCAGGTGGGTTTGACTGGGCCTGGGAATGATTCACCTGTTGACTCAGTGGTTAGTGGTTAGGTGTCAGGTGGGTTTGACTGGGCCTGGGAATGATTCACCTGTTGGCTCAGTGGTTAGTAGTCAGGTGGGTTTGACTGGGCCTGGGAATGATTCACCTGTTGGCTCAGTGGTTAGTAGTCAGGTGGGTTTGACTGGGCCTGGGAATGATTCACCTGTTGGCTCAGTGGTTAGTAGTCAGGTGGGTTTGACTGGGCCTGGGAATGATTCACCTGTTGGCTCAGTGGTTAGGAGTCAGGTGGGTTTGACTGGGCCTGGGAATGATTCACCTGTTGGCTCAGTGGTTAGTAGTCAGGTGGGGTTGACTGGGCCTGGGAATGATTCACCTGTTGGCTCAGTGGTTAGTAGTCAGGTGGGGTTGACTGGGCCTGGGAATGATTCACCTGTTGGCTCAGTGGTTAGGAGTCAGGTGGGTTTGACTGGGCCTGGGAATGATTCACCTGTTGGCTCAGTGGTTAGTAGTCAGGTGGGTTTGACTGGGCCTGGGAATGATTCACCTGTTGGCTCAGTGGTTAGTAGTCAGGTGTCAGTTGGGTTTGACTGGGCCTGGGAATGATTCACCTGTTGGCTCAGTGGTTAGTAGTCAGGTGGGTTTGACTGGGCCTGGGAATGATTCACCTGTTGGCTCAGTGGTTAGTAGTCAGGTGGGTTTGACTGGGCCTGGGAATGATTCACCTGTTGACTCAGTGGTTAGTCGTCAGGTGGGTTTGACTGGGCCTGGGAATGATTCACCTGTTGGCTCAGTGGTTAGTAGTCAGGTGGGTTTGACTGGGCCTGGGAATGATTCACCTGTTGACTCAGTGGTTAGTAGTCAGGTGGGTTTGACTGGGCCTGGGAATGATTCACCTGTTGGCTCAGTGGTTAGTAGTCAGGTGTCAGGTGGGTTTGACTGGGCCTGGGAATGATTCACCTGTTGACTCAGTGGTTAGTAGTCAGGTGGGTTTGATGGCCTGGGAATGATTCACCTGTTGACTCAGTGGTTAGTAGTCAGGTGGGTTTGACTGGGAATGATTCACCTGTTGGCTCAGTGGTTAGTAGTCAGGTGGGTTTGACTGGTTTATGATTGGTTTGACTGGTTTAGAATTGGTTTATGTGACATCAGGTATGTTACTGCAGGGTTAGAACCAACGTGTGCTGCATCAGGTATGTTACTGCAGGGTTAGAACCAACGTGTGCTGCATCAGGTATGTTACTGCAGGGTTAGAACCAACGTGTGCTGCATCAGGTATGTTACTGCAGGGATAGAACCAACGTGTGCACCCCTGGGGGTCTGGACTGAACAACAGGTACAAACCTCCTGTAAATACTGTGTACTCGGGAGGGAGAGTGAGACCTATGGACACACCTCTGTTACTCTGTAAAGATCGCTGATAACAGAACACACACACACACTCTCCTACACACACACCACACACACACACACACACACACACTCTCCTACACACACACCACACACACACACACACTCTCCTACACACACACACACACACACACACACTCTCCTACACACACACACGCACACACACTCTCCTACACACACACCACACACACACACACACACACACACTCTCCTACACACTCACACACACACACCACACACACATTCTCCTACACACACACACACACACACACTCTCCTACACACACACACACACACCACACACACATTCTCCTACACACACACACACACACACACACTCTCCTACACCCACCCACCACCCCATCCTCTCCCTCCTCCTACTCTCTGTATAGCGCTCTGAGGTTATGAAAGCCCTGCTGCTCGCCGATTGGTCGTTGCTTTAGGAACTCCGCGTCTCACTATCATCACTCCATTCCCAGTGCCAATCAGAGCGCCCGCTCGGCCCCTTGACGTCAGTCTCCTCTCCCCCTCGTCCAATCAGGCTCGTAGATAATACATGTACTTGACGCCGCACCGCAGCCTCTGGCTCAGGTAGACGGGACCCACCGCTGCACCGAGGTAATATATTAAAGATATTATACTAATGTTCTTAAATCTAATCAATAACAAAACGACATTTACTTTATATTCTAACGCAGCAGGAACGTTTGCGGTCTTAATGCAGACTAGATAGGGCGTAATACCGACGGTTAGGTTATATGGGTCAGATGTATGGCACTGTACTGTAAAGCTTTATAAATGTATAGGTGTTGTTGACCGGACAAAATAACGGGACAATGTAGCCAACGATCAGTTAAATGCACTAGGTAAGAGAAACTCGATGCGGAGAGGAGTCTGCGTATCAAACCGACGCAGTTCTGAAACATTGCTAGCCTGCCCAAGGGACCCGGGGAATGTGTCGAAAGTCTTATAACTGTGTTGTTACCAATTATTGTAGAACTATATTGTTTTAGGCTATATTATTTAACTGGAGTTAAGGTCTCCTGTAAAGTTGCAAGTTGATGTTTCTATAACGTCTAGTCAGGATTGTAAACGTTTACTGACATTTTTATACTAATAATCGTATAATCTGTTAATCAGACTATTATCGGACATAAGAACTGTGAGTGTGTAACATCTCGATAACATATGAATTGGTCTGGTCCAATATGGATCTCAACTCAGTATCATTGTCCTGTAGTTATGCAAGCGGTCATATTCCATACTGACGATCACTTGTCCTTATATAGGCTTTCTCATTGTCAATCTGTAGTAATAATAATAATATTTAATTTGTACACATGAATCCTTTCCCCTGTATAATTATCTGTTATCTTCTATATTTCTTGTCATTTTTGCAGTATGTTATAAAATCTCTTCTGCTATGCAGCCTTTCAGACTGTTTGGTGACCACTGATCATTCTAGGTTCTGTCCTGTCACAGTCTCTATACATTAACCCTTTCCCCTGTACATGTATTTTATATGTCCTGGTTATAGGTTCTGTCCTGTCACAGTCTCTATACATTAACCCTTTTCCCTGTATATGTATTTTATATGTCCTGGTTATAGGTTCTGTCCTGTCACAGTCTCTATACATTAACCCTTTCCCCTGTATATGTATTTTATATGTCCTGGTTATAGGTTCTGTCCTGTCACAGTCTCTATACATTAACCCTTTTCCCTGTATATGTATTTTATATGACCTGGTTATAGGTTCTGTCCTGTCACTGTCTCTATACATTAACCCTTTTCCCTGTATATGTATTTTATATGTCCTGGTTATAGGTTCTGTCCTGTCACAGTCTCTATACATTAACCCTTTTCCCTGTATATGTATTTTATATGTCCTGGTTATAGGTTCTGTCCTGTCACTGTCTCTATACATTAACCCTTTCCCCGGATATGTATGTTAAATGTCCTGGGTAGTCTAGGGGTTTTCCCTGTATATTTCTATATGTCCTGGTTAGTCTAGGGGTTTCCCCTGTATATTTATGTTATATGTCCTGGTTAGTCTAGAGGTTTTCCCCTGTATATTTACAGTGGGGAAAAAAAGTATTTAGTCAGCCACCAATTGTGCAAGTTCTCCCACTTAAAAAGATGAGAGAGGCCTGTAATTTTCATCATAGGTACACGTCAACCATGACAGACAAATTGAGATATTTTTTTCCAGAAAATCACATTGTAGGACTTTTAATGAATTTATTTGCAAATGATGGTGGAAAATAAGTATTTGGTCACCTACAAACAAGCAAGATTTCTGGCTCTCACAGACCTGTAACTTCTTCTTTAAGAGGCTCCTCTGTCCTCCACTCGTTACCTGTATTAATGGCACCTGTTTGAACTTGTTATCAGTATAAAAGACACCTGTCCACAACCTCAAACAGTCACACTCCAAACTCCACTATGGCCAAGACCAAAGAGCTGTCAAAGGACACCAGAAACAAAATTGTAGACCTGCACCAGGCTGGGAAGACTGAATCTGCAATAGGTAAGCAGCTTGGTTTGAAGAAATCAACTGTGGGAGCAATTATTAGGAAATGGAAGACATACAAGACCACTGATAATCTCCCTCGATCTGGGGCTCCACGCAAGATCTCACCCCGTGGGGTCAAAATGATCACAAGAACGGTGAGCAAAAATCCCAGAACCACACGGGGGGACCTAGTGAATGACCTGCAGAGAGCTGGGACCAAAGTAACAAAGCCTACCATCAGTAACACACTACGCCGCCAGGGACTCAAATCCTGCAGTGAAAGACGTGTCCCCCTGCTTAAGCCAGTACATGTCCAGGCCTGTCTGAAGTTTGCTAGAGTGCATTTGGATGATCCAGAAGAGGATTGGGAGAATGTCATATGGTCAGATGAAACTTTTTGGTAAAAGCTCAACTCGTCGTGTTTGGAGGACAAAGAATGCTGAGTTGCATCCAAAGAACACCATACCTACTGTGAAGCATGGGGGTGGAAACATCATGCTTTGGGGCTGTTCTTCTGCAAAGGGACCAGGACGACTGATCCGTGTAAAGGAAAGAATGAATGGGGCCATGTATCGTGAGATTTTGAGTGAAAATCTCCTTCCATCAGCAAGGGCATTGAAGATGAAACGTGGCTGGGTCTTTCAGCATGACAATGATCCCAAACACACCGCCCGGGCAACAAAGGAGTGGCTTCGTAAGAAGCATTTCAAGGTCCTGGAGTGGCCTAGCCAGTCTCCAGATCTCAACCCATAGAAAATCTTTGGAGGGAGTTGAAAGTCCGTGTTGCCCAGCGACAGCCCCAAAACATCACTGCTCTAGAGGAGATCTGCATGGAGGAATGGGCCAAAATACCAGCAACAGTGTGTGAAAACCTTGTGAAGACTTACAGAAAACGTTTGACCTGTGTCATTGCCAACAAAGGGTATATAACAATGTATTGAGAAACTTTTGTTATTGACCAAATACTTATTTTCCACCATAATTTGCAAATAAATTCATTAAAAATCCTACAATGTGATTTTCTGGATTTTTTTTTACAGGCCTCTCTCATCTTTTTAAGTGGGAGAACTTGCACAATTGGTGGCTGACTAAATACTTTTTTTCCCCACTGTATGTTATATGTCCTGGTAAGTCCAGAGGTTTTCTCTGTATATTTCTGTTATATGTCCTGGTTAGTCCAGAGGTTTTCCCTGTATATTTCTATATGTCCTGGTTAGTCCAGGGGTTTTCCCTGTATATTTCTATATGTCCTGGTTAGTCCAGGGGTTTCCCCTGTATATTTCTGTTATATGTCCTGGTTAGTCCAGAGGTTTCCCCTGTATATTTCTGTTATATGTCCTGGGTAGTCCAGAGGTTTCCCCTGTATATTTCTGTTATATGTCCTGGGTAGTCCAGAGGTTTCCCCTGTATATTTCTGTTATATGTCCTGGGTAGTCCAGAGGTTTCCCCTGTATATTTCTGTTATATGTCCTGGTTAGTCCAGAGGTTTCCCCTGTATATTTCTGTTATATGTCCTGGTTAGTCCAGAGGTTTCCCCTGTATATTTCTGTTATATGTCCTGGTTAGTCCAGAGGTTTCCCCTGTATATTTCTGTTATATGTCCTGGTTAGTCCAGGGGTTTCCCCTGTATATTTATGTTATATGTCCTGGTTAGTCCAGGGGTTTCCCCTGTATATTTCTGTTATATGTCCTGGTTAGTCCAGAGGTTTCCCCTGTATATTTCTGTTATATGTCCTGGTTAGTCCAGAGGTTTTCCCTGTATATTTCTATATGTCCTGGTTAGTCCAGAGGTTTTCCCTGTATATTTCTGTTATATGTCCTGGTTAGTCCAGAGGTTTCCCCTGTATATTTCTATATGTCCTGGTTAGTCCAGAGGTTTTCCCTGTGTATTTCTGTTATATGTCCTGGGTAGTCCAGAGGTTTCCCCTGTATATTTCATGTTATATGTCCTGGTTAGTCCAGAGGTTTCCCCTGTATATTTCTGTTATATGTCCTGGTTAGTCTAGAGGTTTCCCCTGTATATTTCTATATGTCCTGGTTAGTCCAGAGGTTTCCCCTGTATATTTCTATATGTCCTGGTTAGTCTAGGGGTTTTCCCTGGATATTTCTGTTATATGTCCTGGTTAGTCCAGAGGTTTTCCCTGTATATTTCTATATGTCCTGGTTAGTCCAGAGGTTTTCCCTGTATATTTCTGTTATATGTCCTGGTTAGTCCAGAGGTTTTCCCTGTATATTTCTGTTATATGTCCTGGTTAGTCCAGAGGTTTTCCCTGTATATTTCTGTTATATGTCCTGGTTAGTCCAGAGGTTTTCCCTGTGTATTTCAGTCCAGAGGTCTTTTACCATCTTATTTATTTAGTGCAGCATTTATTTCTAGTCATTTAAGAACAAACAATATGGTAGTTATTTGATTCATGACTATGTCCATGGCTATGCAGTGTGTGTGGTTGACTAGTCTGGTTATTAATATATTAAACAGTATTGTGTTTGCCCAGTCCTCTCCCTGGTCAGAGACAATCAATATTCATCTGTGTGTCTGTGTGTCTGTGTGTGTGTGTGTGTGTGTGTGTGTGTGTGTGTGTGCGTGTTCTCTGTGTTTTCCAGTCTCCTCCCAGCCCATCCCCACAAGCCAATCAGAATGGAGATGAACAGCACGGCCACCATCTTGTCCTCTGCCTTCCTGGCCGTGGAATATGTTGACGCTGTCTTACCTGACAACCCTCTACAGCCTTCACTACAATACGCCTGGGGGTAATAGGACTATACTGCTACTATACTATTACTATACCACTACAATACGCCTGGGGGTAATAGGACTATACTGCTACTATACTATTACTATACCGCTACAATACGCCCGGGGGTAATAGGACTATACTGCTACTATACTATTACTATACCACTACAATACGCCTGGGGGTAATAGGACTATACTGCTACTATACTATTACTATACCACTACAATACACCCGGGGGTAATAGGACTATACTGCTACTATACTATTACTATACTGCTACAATACGCCTGGGGGTAATAGGACTATACTGCTACTATACTATTACTATACCACTCACAATACGCCTGGGGGTAATAGGACTATACTGCTACTATAACTATTACTATACCACTACAATACGCCCGGGGGTAATAGGACTATACTGCTACTATACTATTACTATACCACTACAATAACGCCTGGGGGTAATAGGACTATACTGCTACTATACTATTACTAAACCCACTACAATACACCCGGGGGTAATAGGACTATACTGCTACTATACTATTACTATACCGCTACAATACGCCTGGGGGTAATAGGACTATACTGCTACTATACTATTACTATACCGCTACAATACGCCTGGGGGTAATAGGACTATACTGCTACTATACTATTACTATAAACCGCTACCAATACGCCTGGGGGTAATAGGACTATACTGCTACTATACTATTACTATAACCGCTACAATACGGCCTGGGGGTAATAGGACTATACTGCTACTATACTATTACTATAACCGCTACAATACGCCTGGGGGTAATAGGACTATACTGCTACTATACTATTACTATACCGCTAACCATACGCCTTGGGGGTAATAGGACTATACTGCTACTATACTATTACTATACCACTACAATACGCCTGGGGGTAATAGGACTATACTGCTACTTACTATTACTATACCACTACAATACGCCTGGGGTAATAGGACTATACTGCTACTATACTATTACTATACCACTACAATACGCCTGGGGGTAATAGGACTATACTGCTACTATACTATACTATACCACTACAATACGCCTGGGGTGGTGTGGTTTATAGTGGATATATGCACCTATACTATTACTATACCACTACAATACGCCTGGGGGTAATAGGACTATACTGCTACTATACTATTACTATACCACTACAATACGCCTGGGGGTAATAGGACTATACTGCTACTATACTATTACTATACCGCTACAATACCCTGGGGGGTAATAGACTATACTGTACTATACTATTACTATACCACTACAATACGCCTGGGGGTAATAGAACTATACTGCTACTATACTATTACTATACCACTACAATACGCCTGGGGGTAATATAACTATACTGCTACTATACTATTACTATACCACTACAATACGCCTGGGGGTAATAGGACTATACTGCTACTATACTATTACTATACCGCTACAATACGCCTGGGGGGTAATAGGACTATACTGCTACTATACTATTACTATACCACTACAATACGCCCGGGGGTAATAGGACTATACTGCTACTATACTATTACTATACCACTACAATACGCCTGGGGGTAATAGGACTATACTGCTACTATACTATTACTATACCGCTACAATACGCCTGGGGGTAATAGGACTATACTGCTACTATACTATTACTATACCACTACAATACGCCTGGGGGTAATAGGACTATACTGCTACTATACTATTACTATACCGCTACAATACGCCCTGGGGGTAATAGGACTATACTGCTACTATACTATTACTATACCACTACAATACGCCTGGGGGTAATAGGACTATACTGCTACTATACTATTACTATACCACTACAATACGCCTGGGGGTAATAGGACTATACTGCTACTATACTATTACTATACCACTACAATACGCCTGGGGGTAATAGGACTAATACTGCTACTATAACCACTACAATACGCCTGGGGGTAATAGACTATACCTGCTACTATACGTATTACTATAGCCACTACAATACCCTGGGGGTAATAGGACTATACTGCTACTATATACTATTACTATACCACTACATACGCCTGGGGGTAATAGGACTATACTGCTACTATAACTATTACTAGTACCACTACAATACGCCTGGGGGTAATAAGGACTATACTGCTACTATACTATTACTATACCACTACAGATACGCCTGGGGGTAATAGGACTATAACTGCTACTATACTATTACTATACCACTACAATACGCCCGGGGGTAATAGGACTATACTGCTACTATACTATTACTATACCGCTACAATACGCCTGGGGGTAATAGGACTATACTGCTACTATACTATTACTATACCGCTACAATACGCCTGGGGGTAATAGGACTATACTGCTACTATACTATTACTATACCACTACAATACGCCTGGGGGTAATAGGACTATACTGCTACTATACTATTACTATACCACTACAATACGCCTGGGGGTAATAGAACTATACTGCTACTATTACTACTACTACTACTACTACTATAATGTTACTATAATGTTACTATACTGTTACTATACTACTACTACTACTACTACTACTACTACACTATATCACTACTACTATGTTGCTACTATACTACTACTAGTATGAAAAAATAAAAAATAAAAAATGTATGCACTCTGGATAAGAGCGTCTGCTAAATGACTAAAATGTAAATGTAAAATGTACTACTACTACTGCTACTACTACTACTACTACTACAACTACTAAATGTCTATACTACTACTATATTACTACTATACTACTACTAATATACTGCTACTAAACTACTGTACTACTACTACTACTATGCTACTACAACACTTCTATACTAATACTATACTACAACTAATATACTGTTGCTATACTACTACTAGTATACTACTACTACTACTAAACTTCTATACTATTACTATACTACTGTACTACTATACTATTACTATACAACTACTACTAAACTACTGTATTACTATAATACTACTATACTACTACCAAACTACTGTACTACTACTACTATAATACTAATATACTACTTTTACTACTACTATACTACTACTACTACTACGACTTCTACCCATATACTACTGTACTACTACTAAACTACTATACTACTACTGCTACTACTACTACTACTATACTAATACTACATTATGACTATAATACTACTATACTACTACTACTATAGTACTACTACTATTGCTATACTACTACAATGCTACGACCATAATACTAATATACTACTACTAATATACTACTACTACTATTGCTACTATACTACTACTTCTATACTACTACTACTACTACCATACTACTACTATACTACTACAGTTTTACCTGACAACCCCTCCAGACTGACTGGCTGAATGACTGACTGAATGAATGGCTGACTGAAAGACTGACTGACTGGCTGAATGGCTGACTGGCTGAATGGCTGACTGGCTGACTGAATGGCTGACTGAATGGCTGACTGAATGGCTGACTGAATGGCTGACTGAATGACTGGCTGAATGACTGGCTGAATGGCTGGCTGACTGACTGACTGACTGGCTGAATGGCTGACTGGCTGACTGAATGGCTGACTGAATGGCTGACTGAATGGCTGACTGAATGGCTGACTGAATGACTGGCTGAATGACTGGCTGAATGGCTGGCTGACTGACTGACTGACTGGCTGAATGGCTGACTGACTGACTGACTGGCTGAATGGCTGACTGGCTGACTGAATGGCTGAATGGCTGACTGAATGGCTGACCACACCCAGTTCCAGGCAGACAGACAGACAGACTGATGGACATATCATTTGATTAATTGATTGATGTCTGTTGATCTCTGTCCACCAGGTATGTGAATGAGAACTACACTAAATTCCAGATCGCCACCTGGGGTTCTCTCATCGTCCATGAGGCCATCTACTTCCTGTTTTGTCTACCTGGTTTCCTGTTTCAGTTCCTTCCCTTCATGCAGAAGTACAAGATCCAACCGGTAGGTGGTGTGTGTTAGATCCAAGTAGGGGGGGGGGGGGGGGGGGGGGGGGGGGGGTTAGATCCAACAGGTAGTTTTTTTTTATAGAAGAAGCAGTGGAATTTTTTTAATGCTCTCTCTCATCCTGTGTGTATTGTGTGTTGTGTTGTGTTGTGTGTGTGTGTGTGTGTGTGTGTGTGTGTGTGTGTGTGTGTGTGTGTGCAGGACAAGCCAGAGACGTGGGAGAAACAGTGGAAGTGTTTCAAGATGCTTCTGTTCAATCACTTCTGTATTCAGCTGCCCATGATCTGTGGGACGTACCACTTCACTGAGTTCTTCAGCATCCCCTACGACTGGGACAGCATGCCACGATGGTACAGCCCAACACACACACAACCTCCCCTACGACAGCATGCCAAAAAGGCTGTTCTGTCTCTCTCTCCCCTCCCCAGGCCCTACCTGCTAGCTCAGTGTCTAGGCTGTTCCGTTCTGTCTCCTCCTCCCCTCCCCAGGCCCTAACCGGTTAACTCAGTATTAAGGCTGTTCCCCCCTGTCTCTCTCTCTCATCCCCTCCCCCAGGGCCCTACCCTGCCTAGCCGCCAGTGTCTAGGCTGGGTATGTCTCGCTCTCTCCCCCTCCCCAGGCCCTACCTGTTAACTCAGTATTAACGGCTGTTTGGTTCTCTCTCTCTCCCCTCCCCAGGCCCCTACCCTGTTAACTCAGTATTAAAGGGCATGTTTCTGTCTCTCCTCTCCCCTCCGACAGGCCCTACCTGTTAACTCAGTATTAAGGCTGTTCTGTCTCTCTCTCCCCTCCCCAGGCCCTACCTGCTAAACTCAGTGGTTAAGGCTGTTCTGTCTCCTCTCCCCTCCCCAGTCCTACCTGCTAACTCAGTATTAAGGCTGTTCTGTCTCTCTCTCCCCTCCCCAGGCCCTACCTGCTAAGCTCAGTATTAAGGCTGTTCTGTCTCTCTCTCCCCTCCCCAGGCCCTACCTGTTACTCAGTATTAGGCTGTTCTTGTCTCTCTCTCCCCTCCCCAGGCCCTACCTGCTAGCTCAGTATTAAGGGCGGTTCTGTCTCTCTCTCCCCTCCCCAGGCCCTACCTGCTAGCTCAGTCATAAGGCTGTTTCTGTCTCTCTCTCCCTCCCCAGGCCCTACCTGCTACGCTCAGTGTCTAGGGCTGTTTCTGTCCTCTCTCTCCCCTCCCCAGGCCCTACCTGTTAACTCAGTATTAGGCTGTTCTGTCCGCGCTCTCCCCTCCCCAGGCCCTACCTGTTAACTCAGTATTAAGGCTGTTCTGTCTCTCTCTCCCCTCCACAGGGCCCTACCTGTTAACTCAATATTAATCTGTTCTGTCTCTCTCTCCCCCTCCCGAGGGCCCTACCTGTTTAACTCAGTATAAGGCGGTTCGGCTGTCTCTCTCTCCTCCCAGGCCCCTACCGCCTAGCTCCGTGTCTAGGCTGTTCTGTCTCTCTCTCCCCTCCCAGCACTACCTGCTAGCTCGGTGGTCTAGGCTGTTTCTGGCTGATCTCTCCCTCCCCAGGCTACCTGTTAATGCAGTTTTAAAGGTGTTTCTGTCTATCTCTCCCCCTCCCCAGGCCCACCTGTTACGCATTATTAATCTTTCTTCTATCTCTCCCCTCCCCAGGCCCTCCTGTGGACTCAGTATTAAGCTGTTCTGTCTCTTCTCCCCCTCCCCGCCCTACCTGTTACCTCAGTTCTGGCTTTCTTCTATCTCTCCTCCCCAGGCCCCTACCTGTTAACTCAGTATTAAGGTCTTTCTGTCGCTCTCTCCCCTCCCAGGCCCTACCTGTTACTCATGTCTATCTGTTCTGTCTCTCCTCCACTCCCCAGGCCCTACCTGTTTAACTCAGTGTCTAGGCTGTTCTGTCTCTCTCTCTCTCCCCTCCCCAGGCCTACCTGCTGCTCAGTGTCTAGGCTGTTTTCTGTCTCTCTCCCCCTCCCAGGCCCTACCTGTTAACTCGGATTACGGCTGTTCTGTCGCTCTCTCCCCTCCACAGGCCCGACCTGTGAACTCAGTATAGGCTGTTCCCTGTCTCTCTCTCCCCTCCCCCAGGCCATACCTGCTGGCTCAGTGTCTAGGCTGTTCTGGTCTCTCTCTCTCCCCTCCCCAGCCCCTACACCTGTTTAACTCATATGCCGAAGTGTTCTGTCTCTCTCTCTCCCTCCCAGGCCCTACCTGCTGGCTCATGTGTCTAGCTGTTCTGTCTCTGTCCTCTCTCTCCCCGCCCCCCCCCCCAGGCCCTACTTTTAACTCATTAGTAAGGCTGTTTTTCTGTCCTCTCGCTCCCCTCCCCAGGCCCTACATGTTAAACTCGTATTAAGGCTGTTCTGTCTCTCTCTCCCCGCCCCAGGCCCTACCTGCTATCTCCGTGTCAGGCTGTCTGTGATAGAGGACACCTGGCACTTTTCCTCCATCGCCTGCTGAGCATCACGCGCAATCTCAAGCCATCCACAAAGTGCACACGAAGTCACTGTGAGTGACCCACACCCACACACACACACACACACCACACCACCCACACCACCACACACACCCACACACACCACCACACACACACACACACACACACCACAAGTCAGTCATAAACAAACACACACACCACACACCCCCACCACACACACACAACAACACAACTTCATTCACACACACAACCTCACACCACTCATGCACACACACACACTCTGCACCCACACACCCACACCACTGCAGCACCCACACACACACCCCACCACACACACACGGCAGTCACACCACACACACCACACACACTACGCATACATTCTGCACAACCCACACACACACACACTCACACCACACACACTCATACAGCAGGCAACAAACGTCCGCACCAATGCAAATTTACATGTAGCTGTTAAGGATGTTGTGGCCCGTAACCGAAAGTTTCTGGTTCTAATCCCTCGATCCGACTAGGTTAAAATCGTCATGTGCCCTTTGATCAAGGCACTTAGCCCTAATTGCTCCTATAAGTCGCTCTGGAAAGCATCTGCTAAATGACTAAATGTGAAACCCTTGCTATAACCTATCTCTCTTGTGTGTTGGTTAATATGCCTGTTGTCCTTATGTCCTCTCCCTCTCTCTCTCTCTCCTCCCTTGCCCCCTCCTCTCTCTCCCTCTTCTCTCCCTCTCTCTGTCTCTCTCTCTCTCTCTCTCGCCTCTCTCTCCTCTCCTCTCTCTCTCTCTCCCTCCTCTCTCTCTCCCTCCCTCTCTCTCCTCTCTCCTCTCGTCTCTCCATCTCTCACTCCTCCTCCTCCCCCTCTCTCCCTCATCTCATCCTATCTCCGCTCTCTCTCTCCTCATATCTACTCATCCTCATCTCTATCGATATACTCATATCCATCGCTATCTACCCATACTAAATCGTCTCATATATCTATATCTCTCTATCGCTCTTCCATCTCTCTCCTCCTTACTAGCTATCTATATATCTCTATATCTCGTCTCCGTCTCTATCTACTCTCCATCACTCTACCAACTATATATATCTCTCTCTAGATCTATGTGTGAGTTTACTTTGGCATGCAGCGAGTACTCCCGCCCAGCTGAGACTTGTCCGGGGTTTCTGGTTCTTCATCGGCCTCATGGTGTTCTGTAACCACGTCCACGTTACTGTGGGCATGGGTCGCCTTCCGTCTGCTGAGACCCTCGAGCGTACACAGTACACACACACAACACACACACACACACACACACACACACTCCTAAGACTGTAAAGGGGTGTAGGATGTTAAATGCACGTAAAGATCTCATATACTACATGTTGTTCTCTGGTCTGACCACCAAGGGGCTCCGATCGACCATTTGTTCTCTGGTCTGACACCAGGGGCTCGCAGATCTACCATTTTGTTCTCTGGTCTGACCACCAGGGGGCCCAGATGTACCTGTTGTTCTCTGGTCTGACCACCAGGTTGCTCCAGATCTCCATGTTGTTCTCCTGGTCTACCACCAGGGTGCTCCAGATGTACCATGTATCTTGGTCTGACCACACATAACTACCTTATGTGTATTTATGGGTATTCATATTACAAATGTTAAATTAACAAGTTCCTTTCTCTCTTCCTCTCTCACCCTCTCGCCTCGCCTCCTCCCCTCCTCTCTCTCCTCTCTACCCCCCTCTCCCGCTCTCCCTCCCTCCCTCTCTCTCCCTCCTCCTTCCTCTCCCCTCCCTCCTCCCTCCCCTCCCTCCCTCTCCCTCCCCCCTCCTCTCCCTCCCCTCCCTCCCCTCCTCCCTCCTCCTCCTCTCCTCTCTTTCTTTCTCCATCCCTCCCCTCCTTTCCTTCCCTTCCGCTCTCCTCCCCTCTCCTTCTCTCTCCCCTCCTCCTTCTCTCCTCTCTCTCTCGTTTCTTTCTCTCCCTCCCCTCCTTCCCCTCCTATTCCTTCCACGCTCCTTCTCCATCCCTCACTCCTCCCTCCCCCTCCCTCCCTCCCTCTCTCTCTCTCTCTCTCTCCTCTCTCCTCTCCTCCCTCCCTCTCCTTTCTCCGCGCCCTCCCCACTTCCTCTCCCTCCTCTCTCCTCCTCCCCTCATACTTCTCTCTCCTCACTCCTCTCCCTCCTCTCTACTATCCTCTCTCTCCAGTGGGTATGACCAATCCCTCTCAACACCCTCCTCCACCGATCCCGTTCTATGGACCGGGCTTCGTTCCATCCTGACTTCCACATCTGACCTTTGTGGGACTACGCCTCAACCGTTTCCTGGTGGGACAGATCTCCACACGGACTCCCATTACACGACAACCTGGATGAGCAAGAAGATCCATTAAACACCCACGACGCAGACATCGGGACGCTCACGCATACAGACACACAACACCACAAACACGTGCACTTAGAATGCACGCTTACCCACACTTCATGAGTGTCAGCAACTGGACTCCTGAGTGTGCAGTGCCTTTTTGGGAAAAGACACACTAAATAGGTAGAACATCTTTGACCCATAGCAGTCAATCTTGTTTGGTCTTGAACCCATAAACATAAGCCCTTTGTTTGGGTCTGACCAATAACATTCAGGGTTGGGGTCAATTCATTTTAAATTCCAGTCAATTCAGAAGTACACAATCATTCCAATTCCATTCCTCTATTTCTCTTCATTCTTTTCAATTAGGAACATTTAGAATTTGAATTGGAGTTTGGTCACGTTTTGAATTACTGTAATTTAAATTTGACCCCAACCCTGATAACATTAGGCATCTTTGGGACGGAGTTTCGTAAAGCACTTTGGGACATCTACTGATGCTTAATAAAATCTATTTGATTGATTTATTGTCTGGTATGACTCTTGACAATAGCATCAGGCCGTTGTTCCTGAATAATCAACTATTCTGGTGAGATTAATTATTACTCATGTATTTTTTCTCCCCCTTCCAACTTTCTTCACTGTTCATTGTAAGAAAAAACTTTTACAAGTTGGATCAATTGAGCGCTTTAACTTCTTTTATGGTTCTAGATCCGTTCAGTGCGGTTCGAGATCTCCAGTACGGTTCTAGAATCTCATCCAGTAACGGTTCTACACTCTTAGAAAAAGGGTTTATTTTGATTTTTCCCATGATTCAAGCAAGAGCACTGAGTTTGAAGGTAGGCCTTGAATACACCACAGGTACCATACACCTCCAATTGACCTCAAATTATGTCAATTATCCCTATCAAAGCTTCTAAAGCAATGACATCATTTTCTGGAATTTTCCAAGCTGTTACAAAAAACGCACAGTCCACTTCCGTGTAGGATGTAACTCTGACCCCTGGATTGTGATACAGTTGAAGAATAATGAATATCTGTCGTCCACATTGTTGGAAAAATTCACTTTGTGTCATGCACAAGGCGATTCCTACCGACTTGCCAAAACTATAGTTTGTTAACATAAACTTGTGGGGTGGTTGAAAACGAGTTTTAATGACTCCACCTAAGTCATGTAAACTTCCAAATTCAACTGTATATAGATACTATACACCCATTCCGTCTATATGACCTATAACCACCTCACTCTTATGAACAAAACATATTTTCTATACTTCATCGACAACGTCAGTTTTAGAAGAAGATGTTCTGAGCTCGTAGGTGTGAACAGCATTTAGATATATTATCAACAAAGTTTCATTCATTCAGTAAATCAATCCTCATGTTGTTGGATTTGGCTATTTTCCCGCCACAAAACCCGTTGCTTGACAGTGTATAGAAATCAAGCACACCGCCATGCATCTCTAGAACAACTTGCAGTAGAATGGCCTTACTGAAAGTCTCATTACTTTCACGGCACGTCATAAGATGCCACCTTTCCCAACAGTTAGTTCTCACTTTCGTTCTTTCTGCCCTGCTAGAGCTGCCCGGTCAACTACTGTAAGTGCTGTATTGTGAAGTGGTAAACGCTAGGAGCAACACCGGCTCAGCGCGAAGTGGTATGCCACACAAGTTTCACAGAACGTGACCATCGAGTGCTGAAGCGTGTATCGCTAAAAATCGCGTCTGTTCTCGGTTTTGTCAATCTTAACCCTACAGCGTACAATGAACTTCTAGCCTTCTAGATCGATTCTGTGCTTCCACTTTTGTGGCAAACAGTTTGGGGAATGCCCCTTTCCTGTTTCAGCATGACAATGCCCCCCGCTCACAAGCGGGTCCATACAGGCATGGTTTTCGAGATCGGTTGTGGAAGAACTTGCCTGGCATCACAAGCCCTGACCTTACCCCATCTAACACCTTTAGGATGGATGCACGCAACTGCGAGTCCATGCTATCGCCCAGACATCAGTGCCCGACCTCTCTTGCTCTCGTGCTGATGGAAGCAAGTCCCCCCAGCAATTTTCCAACCTCTAGTGGAAAGCCTTCCAGAAGAGTGGAGGCTGTTATAGAGCAGCCAGGGGGGAACCAGCTCCATATTAATGCCATGGTTTTGAATAGATGTTCGACGAGCAGGTGTCCCATCCTTGTGGTAATGTGGTGTCTCTTAAGGTTTATTTAATGATTAAGTGATAACCTTCATAGCATTTATACTAGGCACTACTTTATGTTTGTAATGTGGACCTAGATCATTGATACTGATTGAGTACTGCGCCTGTGCATGAATGTTCTGATCATCCTGTTAGCTTTAATGATGGCCTCGCTGGACTAATAAAGGCTGGACTTATGACAGGGTGTCACAATGGAAGAGAGGAGGAGGGCAGGAGTCGACTATAAGGCTGGACTAAAGTCCGGCTATATAGAATGGTGTCACAAGGGAAGAGAGGACTAGGCAGGATGCACCTATAAGGCCTGACTAATAAAGGCCTGGACTCATATAGACAGGGTGTCAAATGGAAGAGAGATAGGCAGGAGGCAGGAGCAGAGGCATTCGCAGGTTATAACTACTGAATTTATTAAGCGCCATCGCTTAAGCGGGACGAAACCCACATGCACATGTAACCACTCATGAAA